TTCTATTCTGACAAACATAGGGTTATTATGAGTCAAAACTGACTCAGTGGCAACTTGTTATAAACTGGGCAAAAATGAGGGAAGTTATACATGCAGATACACAGGGGTTTACTTCAAGGAAATGACTCACACAGTTGTGGAGGATAGCAAGTCCCAACTCCATGGTCAGACAGCAAACTGAAGATGTCTCCTGACTAGTGCAGCTGCGGGGACTGACAAACCCAACGCTGGAAGTTTAGAAAGAAAGCAAGCTGCTGATTCTGGAAGCTGCTGAATCCAAGAATGGCAAAGAAGACAGCGGCTGCTGGTTCACAGGCTTCAGAGGCTAAGCAGTCTCAGGCCGGGCAAGAGCTATGGCTCAAAGAACTTGAGGCCAGTCAACTGGCATAGCTAAGCCCACAAAACCAATGTTATACAGCCTTCGTTGGTGAGCAGGGGCTGAGGTCTCAAAAGCTTGCAACTGAATATGTTAAATAGAAAAAAGTCTAACTCAAGTATAAAACCTAATGACCACTCCCAGACGGAGGGGCAGTTTTTGACAAGATTCTCTCTGTCCTCCCAGATCTGTAATAAAGTGTTTTGAATACTGAGAGAAAAAAAAAAGAGAGAGAAAAAAACAAAACAACCTTGCAACTACCTATCTAAGATATACATTGGATCTCTCCTTGTCTAGAACAAAGAGGAAAGATAAGCAAAGTTGCATGGCAACATTTAGTCCAAAGGATTCAGGTTCACTGTCTATGACCCTGACACCAGAGGAACTCGATGATGCTCGGCTAACACTGTGGTCTACCAGCCACCGTGAAAAGAGAACATAGAAGGCGGCCCTGGATAAGGCGGACTTAAAAATGTGGAACAAAACTAAAAAATATACAGATGGCCAGGCTTACTGGTTTGATAGTGACTGGTATTTCCACTAAGACTATGGCCCTTAGTCACTTTTGAACCTAGGATAGAATTTATCCTCCTGACTCAATGTACAACCAGAGAGTCAGGCCTATAAGGTGAGCAATACCACCAGTGAAGCCTTCAATTCACTTCATAGAATAAGCAAACCTGTAAGATTTAAAAAAACCAGAGCATTTGCCAAAGGATAAAGCTCAGAAACTGAGGAGGAGGAAAGCAGAAATGGGAATCCCAGGGAGCAAGAGACAAGAGTGCAATTACAGTATGGGTACTGTAGGCAATGTTATAAAGCAACATGCGTATGAATGGTCACATGGAAAACCATTCTGTTTTGTAAACTTTCACTGAAATAATAATAAAAAGAAAAAAAAAAAAACCACCCACCAAAACCTCCAAAGCCAAAGAACTAGAGGTCAAATGATACAAGACAAAAAAAAAAAGAAAAAGAAAGAAAAAAAAAGACAGAAGACAGATTGGACAAAAAGCCAGAGAGCTTTGTGAGAAGAGCAATACATAATGAAAGCAGGCAACTCTGTCAAACAAAATTCCTCCAATCGATTGGTGGCTTGTAGTAGAATTCATGGATATAACTGTATTCTATCAGATTTTTATCATGGGGATGTCTACGTCATAACTGCCAAACCACTAAGAATCACGGCTTAGTGAAGACAACACATAACCTCAGTCATCACAAAAGGATAGAATTCTTAACAATCAGGTAACAAATAACATCACAATCTCAATGGTTTAAAAGCACAAAAGTTTATTTCTTACTCCTAAGAAGTCTGCCTGTGTGTGTCTGGGAGGATCTTAGGGCAGCCAGCTGTCTTGTATCTGTTGGCTCAGCATTCTGGGTGGTTTTGATCATGAGGCAGGCACCTTCATATAGACGTGGCATCCAGGTCGACCACTGCAGGGAAAGAATGGGTCCATGTGTCGATTAGTGGTAATGAAATGGTCTGTGACTCTAGTTGTGTCTACTTATATTTCACCACTAACAAATGACTACGTTCAAGGGGACAGGGAAGGGCCCTCTTACCATATATTAGGATGAAGAAAAGACCAGATATTGGCAAACAATAGTAATGCTAATATAAACATTGCAATTACTAAGAAGGGCTAAGGCGCTTCCAGAGCAGGATGAAGGGTAAGTTCTACTGATCTGCAAATTCATGGGAGTTTGCTCTTAACTATTTGTTCCTGTTGTTGATTGCCTTCAAGCTGAGCATGACTCATAGCGATTCTATGAACAAAATTTTGGCCTAAAGACCCTCTACAACTATCAACATTTATCAAAGTTGATTTGTTTCTAGACCAGTAGAAATGAGCTTTCTGGGATTCCAGATCCACTCCTAGTTCTAAAGCTCTTTTATTTGGTTGAACTCATAAGCCTTCTTCTAAACTTCTCTCACACCTTAATTCTTGTCTTTCTCTTTTATGAGTCTACAGTTTGTGATCTAGGAAAATGGGATCTGTGCATGAGAGTTTATGGTAAATTTCTGCCTACTTCCAAGAGTTTCTATTTCTTCTTGAAGATATGGACTACTGTACACAAAAATTTAGTCAAATGATTAAGTTGAAGGTCTGACCCAAGCAATTAGTTCTCTTTCTTGTAACTCACATGATTATAACAGTCATTAGTGTGCATCTAGAAATGAACCATCATAAACAGGAAAAATGATTCCTGTCCTTTAGATACAGAGAATAGCACTAAGACAAAACACTGCAAAATGTGGGTTTTTAGCTCTTCTCTAAGCAGACTGGTGGAGGAAAGGAACTTTCAACATCTCCCACTTATTTTTCTTTTGTTCTTTTTTTTTTTTAAAGTGTGTGTGTGTGTGTGTGTTCCGTCAAATCGAATCTGACTGGTACAGGAGGAGAGTGCCCCTCCTTCTCCAGCAGAGCATCTGGTGGATTTGAACCATGTACCTCTTGGATTGCAATGCAGCTTCTTGCCACTAGACCACCAGAGCTCCCTATTTATTTATTTCTTAACCACCTTTTTAAGTTAGCAGCCCCACATGTCACCCATTATACCACCGCCTTTCTCCTCTAATCCTTTATTATTATTATTATCCTTAATCATTTCTCCTCTAATCCTTAACAGAGAGAGTCCAAAGAGACAAGGATCATGGAGGTTGACCTGTGGGCCCTGAAAATATCTGTTTAAGTCCCAACCCCTGATATCTGTAATTTGGAAATAGGATTTTTAAAGATGTAATTAAGTTAAGATAAAATGATAACAGCTTAGGGTGGGCCTTAAACTCAATCGCCTATGTTCTTATAAGAAGGACATGTAAAGAGCTACAAAAACCCAAGGAAGGCAGAGATAGGAGGGATGAAGCTGCAAGCCAAGCACAGATGGTCAGCAACCGCCAGAAGCTGTGGGCACAGAAAAAAGAAGCCACGTTGTTTATAGTTGATTTTGGGCCTTTGGTCCGTTATACATTTTGATTGTAATAATTTATTACTGGAGCCATTACTAAGTACCTTTGGTAGTGCAATGGTTATGTGCTCTGCTGCAAACTAAAAGTTGAGAAGTTTGGCAGTTTGAACCCACTAGAGACTCCATAGAAGAAAAGACCCAGACATTTGCTCCCATAAAGACGACAGACTGAGAAATCCTATGCAGTAGTTTTCAGTTTCTCCTGTAGGGCCGTGATGCAGTTCCAACCTATCAGTGAAGTGAGCACCACGTGACAAGCAGAAGAAACCAAAACAATGACAGGTTTGCTAGGATAGGAAGAAGAATACTTCTCCAGGTTTCTATTTACAAAGTCAAATGATCAAATTTATAAAATAGAAACCCGCCCCGCCCCCGCCCACAACAATGATCACAACCAAATGATTCCTAAAATATTTTCCAAGTTTCCTGGGAACATGCATGGCTATATATGAAAATGAAAAATTTCTACAAAATCTTTGCAACTCTGGAGCCAACCTCTAGAAAACTGTACTATGTATTTTGGATACGAACTTAATTCTTCCTTTTCTCTCACTGCTTCCTTTTTTTTTTAAATCTTCTTGTAATTGTTTATCTGATCATAACTAAATTAAAATACTTCTTGGAAACAGCAAGCGTAAATAATCACAAAACTTCCACTGCCACGGTGTCAAGCCCATCTCATAAAATAAGGAGAAATATCTCCGTGTTTTCGAAGTTGGCTGCACATTGGGGAAGCAATGTTATATTTTAAAGGACAAAATGGCATTAATAACTGTTTGATTCCTATATCTGATTCAATACACAAGTATGTGACACAATGACAGAGGCTTCTGAATACCCACTGCCCATGGGGCCCATTCTGACTCAGCGACCCTAACGGGCAGAGTACCACGGCCCCACTGGGTTTTCAAGGCTGTCAATCTTGACGGAAGCGGCTGCCACAGCTTTCCTCCCCCAGAACAGCTGGTGGGTTCCAACTACCAAGCGTTTGGTAAGCAGCCAAGCACTTTAACCACTGAGCCATAAGGACTCCTCAGAAATCAATAAGACAGGACTGAGACGAAACTGAAGCCAAACAAACATGATTTTAAGAATTCCAGCGCCTCTCAGGGAGCCGGGCCCCTCCACAGGGGGCAGCAGAGACGCCCTGAGAGGCCAAGCGGCCCGGGCCGAGCGAGCGCCAGGCGGGACGCAGGGAGCGGTCCCCAGGGCGGTGCGGAGGGCGGGGGTCCGGGCACAGCGCAAAGGCCATTTCTCAGTTGTGCTTCGGGAGGCGTTGCTTGCCGCCCGCTCGACGGGAGGCGGAGTGGGAGCCCGCTTACAGCAGCTGCCTGGAAGGAAGGAGAGAGGGAGGGCCGGGAACAGTAGGAGGAGCAGCCGGCTAGGCTGCGGCGGCGGGAGGCGCGCGCGGGCCACGTTTTGTTTTGGTTCTTTTCCACTCGGACACTTTCTCCTCAGCCCTTCGCGAGGGGTGACCGCCCCGCAGCTCAGCAGCCTCGACCTTCCAGGTGACAGGCGGTCCGGCCCGTGCAAGTCGGCTCCGCCCCACGTCGCCCCCGCCCGCCCCCAGCCCGGGCGCCCAGCCTCCCCGGCCCGGGGCCAGAGCGTGGCCGCAGCGGATCCGCAGAGCTGGAGGCAGCGAGGGCGCGCGGCCCGGGGCAGCGTGTGCCCAGCGAGCGGCCAGCCCCGCGGTGGAGAAAGGGGGAAGTCCGAAGCCGAGACCGAGCGAGGGGAGGGAGGATGCCGATCTAGCCCGCCCTCTCCAGAGCCTGGCTGCAGGGCACTCGCCTGCGCGCCAGCCGCCCAAGCCTCCGACCTGCGGCCGGGACCGTGCCTCCCGGTGCCCGGGGCGCAGGACTTTAGGGTCACGCAGCACGGAGGTGGGCGTGAGAGCTCGGGGTGGGAGTTGGCACAGTTTCGGCGCCTTCTGCGCGGGAGCTGGGGGCGCGGCGCGCCTGGCCAGCTGCCTCGGCGTTCTCCTTAGGCGCGAGTTATGGAAACCCCCAGCTGCATCCAGGATGAGCCTTTCGCGCACCCCCTAGAGCCCGAGGCGGGCCACCCTCCGCAGTCCGCCCCCGGGAAGGTCGGCGAGAAGCGGTTTCGGCTGTGGTACGTGGGGGGGTCGTGCCTGGACCACCGGACCACGCTGCCCATGTTGCCCTGGCTCATGGCCGAGATCCGCCGGCGCAGCCAGAAGTCCGAGGCGGGCGGCTATGGGGCGCCGCCTGCGCGAGAGGTGCTTCTGGTGCTGAGCGCGCCCTTCCTGCGCTGCGTCCCCGCTCCGGGCGCGGGGGGTCCCGGCCTCGCGGCCACGCAGCCCCACCCGTCCGTGTTCATCTTCGAGCACAAGGCGCAGCACATCTCGCGCTTCATTCACAACAGCCACGACCTCACCTACTTCGCCTACCTGATCAAAGCGCAGCCCGACGACCCTGAGTCGCAGATGGCCTGCCACGTTTTCCGCGCCACCGACCCCAACCAGGCAAGTGTGAGGCGCGGAGCTGCGGGGGAGGATTCGGGGAGGAGCCGGCGCATAGGGGTGGGGTACCGGGCCAGAGGGGCTGGGCCCCACTTTTTCAGCGGATCAAGGGAGGTCTCTGGGCGCGCGTCCTCCACGTGGTGCGGGGCGAACGCTCTCTGTCCTCTTGGTGCCTCGAAATTGGAGGCCGGGGTGGTGGAATAAAGCTTTCATGAGCTGGGCGGCCGAGGGAATGATCTGGTCGGAAGGAAAAGGAATGAGGGAGAAAGAAGGGAGGTGGCGAGCTGTACTAGGGTTCTGGCGGAGTGGGCGCGCCCGCAGAGGACACGCGCGCAAGGTGCGCATCCGGAGAGATGACACTGTTTTGGAGGGTGAACGGAGATGTTCCCCTCATCACTCTCCGCCCTGTGCAATATGTGTATTTGAGGAGACTCTTCGGCCTTTGAGGGGTGTCTGTGTGTACATGGAAGAAAGCTGGGTTTTTGGAGAGGGGCGTGTGTGTGTACACCGTAGAGAAGGTTGATTTCTAAGACGGGGGTGTGTGTCTGTGTGTACATGGGAGAGGGTTGGGTTGGAGAGGGGAGTGTGTGTGTGTGTGTGAGAGAGAGAGAGACAGAGAGACAGAAGAGAGGAGAAAGAACACGAGGAGGGTTGGGCTCTTGTAGGCGTGTTTGTGTGTGTGTGATCTGTGTTTTGAAGAAACTTTTTGGCCTTAGGAGTGTGTGTGTTTCTGAGGAGGGTTTAGTGTGTGTGTGTGTATGCACGCTCGTGTGTTTCAGAGGGTTTGAGTTCTTGGAGACCCGCTTGCTTTGAGTCAGATCTGTGCTTTAATCCTTTTGACCTGTCCTGTCAACGCAGCACTCGCGTGTCACTTCTCGTAGAGGCTCTTTCTAAGCATGGTTTAGGGAAAGTTTCTAGACATGGTCACATTATCAGCAAAGTATGATATATGTAGTTGAAAGGAGACCATTTTTTTAACTTTTTTAAAAAATTTTATTATTTTGTGTGTGTGTACCATCAAATCAGATCTGGAACAGGAGGAGGACATTACCCCTCCTTCTCCAGCAGAGCATCTGGTGGATTAGAACCACGCACCTCTGGGATTGCGGTGCAGCTTTTTGCCGCTGGGCCACCAGAGCTCCCTGAAAGGAGACCGTTTTTTAAAATGAAAAAGAAAAGTGTTTTCGACATTTACCTACAGACTGAATCAGTATATATTTGGGCCGTTTCAAAATGAGAGTAGTAGAAAAGGTATTTCTATGTAGAGGGACGATTTTCCCAGAGTTTACAGAACCAAGTTGTTATTATAAAAAAACAATAACAAACAAACACAAACCACCAACGTTAGTGGCTTAGGAACAAGCACAGTTTTTCTCTAAGCTCCCGGAAAAAAACTCTTGGCCACGGTGATTGTTTTGTTTCTTGGAAAACAGACTTTTATTTTTTTTAATGTGTAAAGAGAATTTCAGTACATCTAAAGCCCCTAAAAGTGCTGTTTTTGAGATGATTAATTATTTAATGTTTGCAAAGCTCTCTGGAAGAATAGTGTTGTAAATATAAATAAATATGATCTCTGGTTTCACTCTGTGGGGTGCTTGTGGTGTACTTGGAAAACAGTAACATCAGTAATTAGACGAGAAAAACAGCTGTAAATAAGGCTTTAACTTTTCCTTAGTTCAGGACGAGTATTTCTCACTGAAAGACTGATTACTCTACAATTCTTCACGAAAGATCTGGTATTGGATACAAGAACATTTCCTGAAGATTTTTCCTGTTACTCTTTGTAAAATAGGGACATATCTTAGTACTTAGTTCTCAAGTAGGAAGAAGGCAACTTTAAATGATACAATCACTGATTCTGATCATGAAAATGAATTTTATTTCACATTTGTTCAAACTGTTTTTAAACTCTTACTCATATTGAAATTGGGACACAGCACAGTCTTGACTTATTTGAGAAAATTTATAAATCTTAAAAAGTATTAACATGTTTTTACCCCAGAGATGAGGAGACAGATGATAGGTGTTGATATGGAGATATTGGAACAGACAAATGAAAGCACAGATGATAGAAGCAGCAATGGAAGCCACAGATAAAGGGAATAACCGAGAGGTTGAGAACCAGAAGAAATAAAATAAAAAAGTATCAAGATTTTCTAGTTCTGTAAGTAAGAAGGAATACATTTCCTCCCCCCAACATTAAATAACCTTTCGTTGTTTTTGATGATTTATGTTCAGATTATTGTCTTTAGATGTGAATCATGAAGACACTTGCCAGTTTCATGGTGGTACAGAGTTTCTTTCTAGCAGGCTGTCCCTTGAATTCTCAGCCATGACTGTTGAGTGTCACCCTGCTTCACTGGGGCATCGTGCTAATTTAAAGTGTCCTCCGATTTGTCAGGCAGCTCAGATGGTTGATTCCGTAGGGAGTTGCATCGTTAATCGAAAGGTTGTGCTTCTCTGGTGGTTCAAATCCACCATCAGCTTCTCCGGAGTCAGACAATTCACAGCCACAGAATCTCTTCCCATGCAATTTACAGACACAGAAACCCGGTGAGAGGTCCAGATAGGGGTTGATTCTGACACAGTCATAATGAGTTTTGAGTTTTACATCTTTTAGGGGTCAGAGGCTGACACTTTTAAAAGTCATAGCATATTTAAGTTCGTATTCTCTTTCCAGAGGGAGCAGTGGAAGCCGTGTGGCTTTCTGATAAAGGAATGAAAGATGAGCTTTGCTTCCTTATCTCCATTTCCCAGTTGAATCCTTGATCTAAATTTATTGACTCGGATTTGTTGGACCTATGAAATCTTGGACTAATCCAGACAACCCATCGTCTTAAAGTCAATTCTGACTCCCTGTGACTCTGTTGGATAAGGAAGAACTGTCCCTGCGGGGTCCTAAAGTTATACATCCTTACAGAAATAGACTGCCTCGTCCTTTCACTATAGAGGTGCTGCTGGGCTTAAACTGTTGACCTTTTGATTAGCAGCTGCCTTTTTAACTTCCGCACCACCGGAGCTCTTTAGAAACCCTTCCAGAGGATCATTTATTTGAATATTAGAATCATTTATTAGATATTTAACTCAAATATCCTCAGTAGATGGTTGCTTGAGGATGGAGGAGGACCAGGTGTTGGGTACCTTTTCTAAATTTATTTTTAAAAATTTTTTTTGTGTGTGTGTACCATCAAATTGGATCTGACTGGTACAAGAGGAGATTGTTCCCTCCTCCAGCGGAGCATCTGGTGGATTCGAACCTCTGGGATTGATTGCAGTGCAGCTTCTTGTCGCTAGGCCACCAGAGCTCGCCTTGGGTGCCTTTTTAAAAGTGCTTTTCATTCAGCTTCCACTGAAAATTGCACTAACAGAATTTAAACTTATGGTTTCCAGACCTTTGAATTTCCTGAGAGATGATAGAAACCTGAATCTTAATGTATAGTTGACCTTTGAGGGCTTTGACCTGTGTTGTTGTTGTTAGGTGCCATCAACTTGAGTACAACTCATAGTGACCCTATGAATAACAGATCTGAACCCTGCCCTATTCTGTGCCATCCTCACAATCTCTGACACACTGTGGCCCATTGCTGTAGTCACTGTGTCAATCCACTTGGTTGAGAGTCCTCTCTTTCACTGACCCTCTGCTTTCCCAAGCATGATGCCCCTCTCCAATGAATAGCCTCTCCTAGCAGTACATCCAGATATGTGAGATGAAGCTTTATCATCTCTGCCTCCAAGGAGCACTGTGGCTGCACCTTCTCCAAGTCACGTTTATTTGTTCTTTTGTCAGTCCATGGGATGTTCAGTGCTCTTCTCCAGCACTGCATTCCAAAGGCATCAATTCTTCTGTCATCTGTATTCATTGTCCAGCTCTCAGCAGCATGGCAAAGATTGAAAAGACCGTGGCCTGAGTCAGGCGCACCTTAGTCCTCCAACTAACATCATTGCTCCTCAGTAATCTGGAGAGGTTTCTTGATTGCTCTTTGGTGAGCTCAGTTGCTGCTAGTATCTGATTAAAATGCCTCCTAACACCAGTCACAGCCCTTTCTCCCTGTCCCTGTGTGGACTAACTACTCACCTGATCTAACTGCTCACCAGAAGATGATTATTAGAAACACTAGAGATCAGCAAAACCAACTACAGCTGTATAATGAGCTCACATATGCAGTTGAAACCTGTGGTGTTGAAGCCTCGGTCTGTCCATTTCACACTTACCTTGTTCAAGCTCAACAGGGACTTATATCAAGCTCAACAGGGACTTATATGCAGGATTTGGCTCTGTGAACGATGAGCAGCCTTAACCCCACCCCCTACCATGCTGTTGATGTGTCAACTGGGAAGTATTGCAAATGTTGAAGGATTTTTATGGGCCAGCGTGTCTTTGGTTAGTCCAAGAGCTAATACGCTTGGCTGTGAACTTTAAAGGTTGAAATGTACCTAGAAACAACGTGGAAGGATGTAGTTCTGGTTGTTGAATTGTGCAGAGCAACCGCTGAGGACCCTGTGGTGTTCAGTTCTGCTGTGACACATACCGGGTAGCCAGGAGTTGGAATGGACTCTAGGACAATTGGTTTTAATGTGCCAAATGCAGCACATCTAAAGGTCATATTCACTGAGCCCTTGTGGGAGGCCCACCTGGGGTCTCTCGCTTAAATAGTGTTGAATGGGGAAGGACAGTCCTAAAACAATGCCAGCAGTTTGCTTTGCTCCTGAATTCTACGTTTGAAGTGGAGAGTAATTTATTATGACTTTGGGGTCCTTAGAAAGAGAGCCCGCCAACTGTTGTCTGTAATTGAACAAGGGAGCCTCATCTACACTTGCAAAGAAGTTGTCTTCAGTTTATCTCTCCTTCGTGTCACCTTTTTAAAAATGGATGGATATGTAAGGATGTCCTTGACATGTACGGTTTAATACGGGACATTTTTTATTGTGAAACAGGGAACTTCTAGTAAATACACTGACATAAATATGAGTCTGGAACTTTTAGGTCAAATGAGTATATTTCC